GGAGCTATTGTTAATTCTGAGTACAAAATTATTAATGTGGTGTTGGAGTTGGATATTCCAGATACTATGAATATTATAGAAATTGTAGTTGAGTAGTGTACTATTGGGGATAGAGCGAGAGAGATGAGCTTTGTGTTTTGCAATTATAAGATATTTTTCCAAAATCTTGGAGCATGTAGATTGTAGAATTACAGTGTTGTGAATTCTGTATTCAATTATTAGAATAATAACAGCATTGATAACATAGGCTACTTGTTTGTCAGTTATTTTCTTGGTATTAGCAATTTGTGCTAAATTAAGAGCCTCTTCTTGGATAAGTTTGATTTGTCATGTATGTCTGTTATTAAGAGTAAACTAGCATCCAAGAAACTTGAATGGCTGGTTAGCCGGAATTGAGATAAGATTTGTTTGCAAAAGTGAAATACTTGCTAGTGGCTGCTTAGATATGAAAACTGATTTGGTAGAGTTAATCTGGATATTAGCTATTTTGTAAAATAAGGATGCTATTTGTATAATTCTTTCTAGATTGTCCTTAGATTGTGCAATCCAGAGATATCATCCATGTAAGCAAATACTGAGACTGAACAGGTTAGCTCTTTAGTTGATAGTGAGGTAAGACTAGTTTGCCAGGATGTATGCATAGTATATCCAGGTAGGTGTAAGGAAATATTTGTAATAAGTGGATCATAGTATATTCTCCAGAATAGTGAAGTAATTGTTTCTTCTTGGTCTATTCCATTCTGGACAAAGTAGCAGTTAGTAAGACCCAGGTTTGTAATAACTCTGTTGGTGCGGTTTAGAAGAAGATTAGTAAGGATATTAATTAGTAGTTGGGGCATACGGATTCTGTGTAGTAATTTTAAAAACAAGTTGAAGTTGACAGAGTTATAAGCCTTGCTCATGTCTTGGGACAGGATCCAGAGTTGATTTGAGTTGCATGCTGCATCCTCTATAATGCTATTAAGAATGTAAATAGGAATTGTGGTTGAGTTATCAGGGAGTGCAACATAGTTGAAAGGGGAAAGAATCTCATGTTTGAATAGATATGTATTAAGGCAATTTGTAAGGAGTTTAGTGTAGAGCTTTTTAACATGCTCAAAAAGGCTTATAGGTTTGGTGTTAACAAGATTGCCATCAAAAATTGGTTTTTTAGAAATTGAGTAAATTCTGCTTTCTTTTCATTGTTTGGGATTGTTTGAGAGGTTAGACATTGATTAAGAAGGGCTATTATTGCTTATATAAAGTTTTAGCCTGCGTGTTTAAGCATCTCATAGCTTATTTATGAGGGGCCACAGGCCTTGTTGTTAGGTAATAAACTAAAGGTAGAGACAATCTCTTTCTGAGAAAATTTTAGAAATATATCAGTATACCAAGTTGGCTAAATATATGGTACTTAGCTTGCCAGAGTTGAATAGGTTTTGGTCAATAGATCAGAAAGCTATTCAATTATTAAAGTGTTGTTAAATATAGGATTTGATTAAAGTTGGATTTGTGGTGAGGTCCTGGTTTAGTTTTATATTTTCAAATTTTATAGGGTCTTTGTATCTGTTTAGAATACTATTTAAAATAGATGTTGGATTGGACTAAAGCTTAGTACATCTTTTGAAGATTGCCTTATTAATTTGTTGTTTTGTTTGTTTAATGTTTTTTAAATTACAAGTATGATAAAGCTTTTTCTATTCTTCTTTTGCTTCTGTTAACCAATTAGTCATATTTTGAGAACTTGGGGTAACTGAGGTATTTGAGACTTGTGTATTTGGTTGAGCTAGTTATTGTTGTCTCAAGTTGAGCTAGGGCTGGTTGGTTAAGCTTGGTATAGTGTTTTACTTGTTTAATTATATTACTAAGTTTTTTAAGACTATTGTGAAGTGTAGAGACATTGAGGAGAAGGTATGGTGAAAGTTGCGGACTGTAAATCTTTTATTAAGTATATGCTAGAGTGTTGCAGTAATAAAACTGGTTTGGATTTTATGCCAGGTTGTTTCAAGTGATTCAGAGGTAGATGTAGTTAAAGGTGTGTAGTTTAAATTCAAGTTAAGGCTAACTTGGTCACTAAAGTTATTCCATTTCTCTTGGTCCATTAGTTTGTAGTTAAATACTCTTCTCTTTGTATATGTTTTATGCCTTGGTTGACCTGTAGTAGCATAGAGGAAGAGCCAGCAAGATATCAGTATCTTGTGATTACTTTGTGTACTAGTACCAGGATTATCTGTATAATAGTCAGTGATGTATTAGAGAATGGGCTGGTATACCCAAATATAGTCAATTTCACTGCTGATATTTGCTCTATACCAGGTAGGTTCTACTTTTTGGAAGTGTAATACTAGATTATACATGTTGTTATATGTTAAATATTGGAGCAGCTTGTACTTAATCAATTGTGAGTTTATATTGTCTGTAGAAGCATTGAAGTTACCAAGAATGATTGGGAGAATGTTCTGTGTATTTGCCTGCTATATCTATTGAATAATAGTATTTTGAGTCTAGAGTCTAAGGTGGGAACATTGCTATGTAGATAGAGGAAGATGATATGAAACTTGTAATCATTTTTGTAAAAAAAATCAATTGTAATTGCATAGCCGGGAAGTGTTTTGATATTATGAATATGGAGGGTTAGATTGTTGTGAACTATAATAGCTGTTTTTGCTCTAGTGCTATTGGTACATGCCCAGAAATAGGTGTAGTACCTAGTCTTGTAAGGTTTTTTAGGTGTTGTTTTACTTGAAAGCCTAGTTTTTGTAATGCTAATAATATCTAAATTGTGTTAGAGGCAGTAATGCTTCCAGGTTTCATTCTTGGTATTAGTATTAAAGCCTTGTATATTGTGTGTACAGATGGAAAGTGTGAGAGGATTTAGTATATTTGTATTAGTGTAGCTAAATAGGCTGTGGCTATTACTCATGGGAGTGTTTATTTGTATTTATTTGTTCTGGGCTGTCCAATGGGCTATTACTTTTCTTAGATTGCAATGCACTTAGTAAGTCATGTAGTGAGATAGATGTATCAGTCTTGGGGTTAGAGCTGATGCTTATAAAGGATTGCATAGGGCTAGGGCTGGCTAGTGCAGCTACACTATTAAATATGCTCTAATTTGGGGTTAGAAGAGGTAAAAGGTCAAGTAAAAAGTCTAGAATTCTTCAGATTATATAGAATAGTCTAAGAACTTGCATAGTTGGAGTAATCTCTGCTTGGTTTTGAATTGGGAGTGTAATAATAATTTCTTGCTTAGATAGAGTTTGGATAATTTCCTCAAATCTTCTAGTATACTAGGAATAGTTTGTTTCTGGGTTATATCTGCTCTATCAGTACTATTTGTAGGGCTATTACTAATTTGAATCTAGTTTGCAGGAAGCTGGCTAAAATAATTGTACTTGCAGAGAATTTTAGCAGTAGATATAAGTTGTTGTATAGTTGTTATTAGGAGGGAGATATTAAGATGTTCTTTGATTGCTTCTGCTGTTGGCAGCTTCAGCTTGTTAGTTAAATTGGCTTGCATGATCTCAGAAGAGAGTAGATATTGAACTCTATAGTAGAGAGAGATCTGTTTGATAAGTTCTCTAGCCACTGTATCATTGGTAATAGAGAACTTGAATAGTGTAGTAGTTTTAATTTTGTTGATTTCTTTGAGAAGAGGGGGTTTAGTGGTAAAAAAGTTATTAGGTAGTAGCTTGAATATATAGTATTCTTTAAGCTGGGCAACTACTTCTGCTAGTAGTATAAGAGAAGTAGCTGCATTAAATAGAAAGAATTTTTAGACTTTGTAGTTTAGCTTCTGATATGTTATAGGTAGGAGCTGCTTGGGTGGTAGTAGGTCAAAGTATGAGTCTGGAATTTTTGTGATAGTATGAAGTCTGCTAGCTTTCTTTTATATAGAGCAAGGTGTTGTAAGGAGGATCAGTGAATAATAGAAAAAAGTTATCGTAAGCTAGGTGTTAGTCCATTATAATAAGGGGTAGCAGAGGAAGTTTGGCAAAATATGTATTAGGAAGCTCAAAGAATTTAAAAATTTTCCTTAAGGCAATAAACTATAGCTTTGGTGTGTGATCGCTATGTGATTAGAAGTTGGAAAGGCAAAATTTTAAGAATTTCTTCAGGTATTTGTTTGGGCATATTACAGTAGGTAAAGGAATAAGTTTGCTTTCAAGTGCTTTATTAATCTGGGCCTTGATCTTCTTAAAAACTTCTTCACTGGTATTTTTAATTTCAAGAACCCTCTAGCATATTGAATGGCTCTGCAAATATTTTTGTAAGTAGTTTTGGCAAAGTTGATATTCAAGAAATATTGGCTGATAAGCCACTTTTTTAGTGTAGAGTAGATTGTATTATAATATTATTGTCCAGTTTGTATACTGTAAGAGCCTTATTAAAAGATTGTTATATACTTTTTGTTGTGCTGGGGTGGTTTTGGGGTTGCGAGTGAACATGATAAAAAACCTGGTATCATGAAATAAACTTGAGAGTGATCGCATCAGGTAGTTTGTACTATATAGAAGTAGTAAATAGTTTGTAGCTAGTGAAGTTGTATATACTTTTTGGTATTTCTAATGTGTTTGTGATAGATTCAATTGACCAAGTATCTGTATCAAATAGTGTGTTAACTGGGTCTGTAATTTTGAGAAAACCTTAGTTGTCCACTCTATATCATCTTTTGGGGCATCTGTTGTAAGAAGTCTTAAATTTGGTTTAGTTACTTGGCTATAGGTTGGTTTCAAAATTGTTTTTTGACTTGTTTGAGTTCTAGTCAGATTTGAAGTACTGCCTTATAAAGTTTTAGTAGCTTTGTTAGGAGTTAAAGCAAGTGGCAATATGTTGAATAAGTTTCTAGGCCTTTTGCGGAGTATTGGGGTTGGCTATAGTATCTGCAGAGGTATTACTAGGAGTATGTGTAATAGTGCTAGTAGCAGGGGTAGGTGCAGAGATGATTGGAGTAGTAATTTAATTGGTAGATATACTAGGTCTTGGTATAATAGCTATAGTAGAGTTATTGGTATTTGGGAGTATCACTGTGTATTTGTATTGCTTTTGTTATCCTTGTCTGTATTGTTTGCAGCTGTTTGTATTTTCATAGAGTCATTAGTTACTGGAAGTTGTGGAACTGATTTATTGAAAATACTTTTATTTAACTTGTTGTCAGATTCTATTTGTGTAATAGAGTTATATAGAATCCTAACTAAGTCAATATTGATTTTTGCTTTAGTGTAAGGCTTTATATTGTGTTTGTATATATTAATAATAGTGATAAAGTCATAGCTACGGGTTGTTTTAAGGTATTTGGCGCTAATATTTATGATTTTTTTTTTGATTATAGTGAGGTCAAATAGGATTGAATGGGTAAGGTCTTTGTGTTTGCATAACCATTGGGGAGGGTAATTAACCAGATTTGGAATCTTTTCTGATTTGGTAATATCTATATAAAAGAAGTTCTTGGCATGTTTTGGGATTAAGAAACAGACAGAAAATATTAATTTTGACCAGTCTTTAATAGTAATATCAACAAAATTTTTTGTGTGTTTAGATTCTGGAGTTGGTGGCTAGGTAACAGCAGGATATCCTTGGGTTGTACAGGCTTGTGGGATGTAGAAAAATAACTAAAGATGCTAGAAAAGCTTTCTGAAAACATACTTTTAGAAGAGTGTTAAGGTTTGGTAGAGGGAGATATTGAATATTTTTTATTGTTTTTGTATAAAAGACTATTAGTACTTTGCAATAGAGTATTTGGGTCTTGGTGCTCCTTAGACCTGCTTTTGTAAGAGAATAAAAAAACTAGGTTTTTGTCTTTTTGAATGTTTATTGCTATTTATTTATCAAGTGGAGAACTTTTTAAAACAAAGACACCTCTTTTAGATAATTTAGTAGGTGCTGAGTATCAAATACTTAGTAGGTTTTTGAAATAATTCCACAGGAAAGTCTTTTTTTCTTGCTTCTATTTTGGTAAAAGTGATCTACAAGAAGAGTTTTTTTTTTATATAATTATAATATATATTATTAACTAATAATAAATTTATTAGTAATTTATTAAAATATTTGCTTAATCATTATTAGTTAAATTATATCTACTTCACAATTTTATATATCACTATTCATTTCCTAGTATGAAATCTTTTTCTTAAATTAATATTATTGAACTCATAAACTATAGAAGCTTATTTTGAAGATTATCTAATTATATTCTTAACTCTATATTAGTTAAACAATATACAATATAGATAATTTTTTTTATCTAACATTTTACTATAATTAGACTGACAAATAACTTTGGTTATTTGATAGTGTTAACATTATTTCTGGAGTACTCTAGCCATGGCAAAAAAAGTTCAAATCATATGATAACTAATAAAAATCTTTAAGTTTATTTAAATTAGAGTTAAGGTTTGGATCAGGGTTAGAGAGAGCTATTGGTAAAATTATCTTCTTGGCATTTTTTATTAATATGCTGAAAGTTGTTTCTTGTAAACTTTGTCAAAAAATAAGTAATTTTTTTTTTATTTTCTTTAGAGCAAACATTTGTTTTGAATTTTTCTAATCATGTTATGTTATACAAATTAGGAATCATTATTAGCTAATTTACAACAGATTATTACATGATACAAACTTTTTTGCCATGGCTAGAGTTAGTGCAATTTACTTATTTTCGTAAGTAATACAAACTAAAAAAGAAAATTCAATTTTGTAAATAAACTAAGTGTGTAAAAATAGAAGTTTAGGATTAGGATATTAGGGTTGTGTAAAATTTTATTCATATTATTTTTTATTAGTCAATCAAGGTTGATTTAAGCCCTGGTTTTTGAGTATTTTCATTATCTTTTCTTTTTTTCTTATTTTGCACATGTTCAGGATCTTTGTTGGGCTGATCCGGGATAGTCAAAATCTGTGCTCTCTGATTGGCTATCTCCTTTTTAGGAGTTTGTATTACTCACCAAAATAAATGGCTGTGGGTTAGAGTGGGTAGCACAGAGGTCACAGGAGCATGACAGAAGTTCTATTTTATTGGCTGCAAATGTGTAATTTGCAGATCCTAATTTGTTAAAATGTGATTGGCCAGTTAAGTCATATATTAATTAAAAAAAAATTTTTTTTTTACCATTACGCTGTAAACATTGTAGCTTAAGTGTTTGATTGTTGTAAAAATTCGTTGTAGCCGTTGTAACCAAGTTTGATATAAATAAAACTTTGCTATAATCAAAGTTTATTCAAATCTTTGCCATGGCTAGATGGTTGGAACTTTGCTGTGATCGCTATAATCAAGAGTTTTGTTATGACCAAGGTCTTGCTATTAAGGTTCTGTCGTGATTTCGCTATGACCAAGGTTTTTAAATAAATAAGGTTTTGCTGTGATTAAAATTCTACCTTGATCAAGTTTTGTTTAAAGCTTCATTATAGTTCATAACATCATGGTTGGAAAACATTTTACTTACCTACTGCCTATATCAATCATATCAAGTGTGACTTGCAAAAAAAAAAAAAAAAAAAAAAACATTTATGGAAAAGAATTGTGGTCCTTGCTCAGTAATTAATTGTATATCTAGCAATGTTAGATTTCGTATAATTACAGAGCTTACATATAGAAAATATCGTGAGAAGGGAACATTGAAAACATATTCCTACCTTGAAATTGGGCAGCAACTTTGTCACCAACATTACTGTAAAATCATAGAGTCTGATAGAGGCCAAAAAAAAAAAATAAACTAAAACTTAAAAAAATACAAACTTAAAAAGAAAACCGTCCAATGTCAGTTCAGCATCAGTTGCCGCAAATCCAAGAGCAAACCTCTCAAATACAAAGCTGGACCCTTGAAGATCAGCAACAAGATCTTCAAATGTTATTTTCTAAAGCATTGGAACCAATAATTCCTCAACCAAATCATGGTAATTATTTTATATTTTATTGATCCTTTTTATTTTATTTTTATTAAATATACTGTATTTATTTCTTTTAAATATAGATTCTATATTTGCTTTGAAAATACAAGCTTTAACAAAAGTATTGTATCACCAGCAACGTTGAGAAGGCGTCAGTTTGCAATTGGATCCTATAAAGTTTAATCATATGATTGAAAATGCAGACCCTCAACTTAAGGGATTTTTTAATTATATAGTTAGCACATTAATTCCAAAGGAGCGCTCAGCTTATAGTATCAACGAAGCTAAAAAGTCAATAGTTGGATTATGCTATACACTGGCTGGGTTACAAAATAAATTTGTCAACCAGCATAAAATAGAAGTTGGATTATACTTAATGGCGTCGGGAGCAACATGGGAGGCGATTGATACAATGTCAAGCTTAGGATATTCTGCATGTGCTAAAACAGTAGAAGAATTTTGAAATAATATTAAAAAAAAACATGTGGCAAAAATTGAGAAATATTTTTTTGGACAATGTAAATGTTATATATTTTAATAAATAAAGTGTTAATATATGTTATATATATATTAATATTAATATTTTTTCCAAAAAGATACATCACAACTCTTCCCGACGATCATTTGGACCAACTTTTTAAAAAACCAAACTTTCAATAAAAAACAGTAAAACTATGTTAGAGAAGAAGGACATAAGACTGACGAAAACCATAAACCG